GTGTTCCATTTTTAGTTTTCACTTTGTGGTCTCTTAGTGTTCCATTTTCAATGATTCATTTTCAATGTTCCTTTTGCAGTGTTCCACTTTCAATGGTTTCAGTGTTTTATTTTGAGTGTTTAAATTTGACTGTTCCACTTTGAGTATTCCACTTAGAGTGTGTCGCTGTATGTGTTTCATTATCAGCGTGTCATATTCAGTGTTCCACTTCCACTGTTCCAGTTTCAATATTCAACTAGCAACTGTTTGAGCTGAAGCTCCGTATGTCCCTTTCATTTGTTCCCCAAAACAACTATTCCACTTGCCACTGTTTCGCTCCCAGTTCACCTACCTTGAAAACTGCTCTCTTCCATATCTAAGTAACAAATAGTTAAAATAAGTAAATATATAAACAATAAATACGCAAAATATTTGCTATACTAAAAAAGTAACCAATCCAACTACTGTGTTGACGATATGTGTGTACCTATATATGATAATTTCCTATAGCATAAAGCAAGAAAACAAAACACAACACAATTGGAACGAATCGAATCAAATTATGCATATTACATAGTATAACGAGCACTAGAAAACAATTTATTGCAAACAAAAAAAAACATATAAAGCAAAATCAAATCAAGCAAATTAAAACCAAAAATGAAATGCAAAACTTGGCCAAACCAAGAGACCAACGGCATTTACAAGCAACAAGCGAACAAGGATAAAGACAAAAGAGATCAGAAACAGAGAAATATGAAATATGCTAAAATCAAGGCCAAAAGAAATGTCGAAACGATAAATATTGAATATACATATATATACAGAATTGTTAAGCTGGTAACAAATGCAACAAGAACCTACAATAAGCCCTCCTACAAGATTATACTACTATATATACATATACGAAACTTATACAAAAACCAAACATATGAATGCTATATACAAGCAAACGAAACAACAACAACAACAACTATTTTTGAGTATAATACTTGATTTATCTATACACACACACATACACACCAATACACACACATTTATAAATTGTTACTAAATGTTGTTTCACATTTTTGTTTTTTATATATATATTTTACTTATATAAGCCAAGACAAACGCAAACGTTTACCGCCGAAACAAAAAGTAAAACTACCTAGCTAATCTAGAGCAAAGTTAGAGAAACACACACATATATATATAAATAAATATATATATATATTATATATCATTTTTAAATGTGTGCTTTAAGTGTGTTATAAGAACTACTAAAAGAGCCACGTGCCGGTTCCTAAAACTCCAAATTGAATATGTAAAATTACAATTAAAAAGGAAATTTTAAAACTACACAAAAAATAGCAAAAATTCCATAAATCCTAACTAACAATAAGTGTGTGTGCAAAACAGTTTTAAATGGCAACAACAAAAGCATAATCAAAGCAAACCAAAACTTTAACTAAAATGCATATTTAACATATGTGAAAAACAAAAAAAAATCTAAAAAAAAAAACTTATCAAATTCAATCAATAAATGTCAATGAATATTTAAAAGGCAATTTTATTTATTTATAAATGAAAATTTCAGATTTATTCTCGCAATTCAATTGAATTCACTTTTGGGTAAGTATATGACAAGAGTTGGTAAAGAGTCTTACTTAATGGCTTGTGGCATATACATATATATGATTAAATGCTACATATATACATACATGCATCATAATATTACATAAACATACATCACTTTGCATTTTGAAGTTCATGGAGCCTGAACCTGAGCCCCTAAGACTTCTATAAGCTTGAAATGACTCCTTAATTGGTTCCAAAGCTGGATTCGTTCTAATAATTCAGTTCATACTTTAAGCCAAGATCACACTTGTAGCTTTGTATCTTGAATTGGTTCAGTTCACGGCTCCAGCTAATGGTTCCACCTATGCAGCTAAGAGATCCAAGTTAGGATGAGTTCAATTTCCAACTTCATTCCTCAACTAATGAAGACTTCATGGCTCAGTGCTAGCTTCACTTTTGTAATTCACTCACATTGCTCACTTGTTCTCTTAATTCTCTTAATTTCAATTTATTATTTTTCTTTTTGAAACACTTCATTCCTCATCAAAAATGAGAGAAAAACTCTTTGAGTAAACTCGCTTTTAAGCCGCTTTGCAACCTTCAAAAGATTTCCTTAGAAATCTGGCTTTATGGCAAAGCTATTAGCTTGATACTGCGTAATAGTCTAATCCACTTGCTGGTCTCATATCGTCAATGGGTTTAAACCGTTAAGTAGATATGGTGTGCGTGTGCACATGTGTGTGTGTGCGTGGGTTCATGAAAATAAATTGTCGTCGCTGGCAAAGGTTGTGGCAAGTGTTTATGGAATTGATTTCAGTGCAATTTGCGTATGGTCGGGGTAGATTGCAAAGCTTTTATCTAAATTAAATCCAGGCCACGACATGTGCCGAGTCCATGGCGAAGTTCATACACCCACGCGTTCCCTCCCGACTCCTCCCTCTCTCTCTCTCTCATTGAGTCTCGCTCGTTGGCGCCTACGCTTGACGGGCAGATGATTTGCCATTTGACGTGTCATCAAAGCTAAAAAGTTAATGTGCAGTAATGTCTTAAAGTTGCAAGTACACACATACACACACACACACACACACACACTGTATGCATAACAGTGTTCAAGAAAAATCTGTGTAGTTTTATGCAACTTTTATGACATCAGCCGCAGCAACAGCAGCGACAAAGTTTTTACGACTTCCAACAATGCGAAAATGAGAATAAAAGGAAAATTCTCACACACACAGACACACAGACACACCCATAACATATAAACAAGGAAAAGCTTACTATGTCCTGACCTGACAAAATACAAGCACAAGTGCTTGACACTTGGGGCAAGTCACACAAATATCTTGGGCTGCAGTGTTGCGACTTGAACTCTTTTGCAATTATGAAGCTGTCACCGTGGCAATGGCCATAGCCCACACACACACACACACGCGCACCTGCACACATGTTCGTCAGCCCACGGCATCTTGTGGCATTGACATGTTGGCTGCCTCGAAAGTCGCGACAACATTTCGCCCAAGCCACAAATAAAATTGCAATTTAAGTTGCAGCAATGCACATATATTTTGAAGAGCTTTTAAATTCCATGAAAATATGAAGGAGAAAGAGCGAGATAGAGCGCGAGAGAGGGCGTGTGAGAGAGACAAAAGTATAGAAATACTCCATTGCTGCACTGAGAGCACTTAGGCAGAGCAAAGCTCAAGCCGAAAGACTAAGACCTAACGAAAGAAGGCTTAGGATCGTTGCAACAATTAATGAAGACTTTCAAATATATTTGGTAGGGTATATATTAGCTTGTCATATCTCAACTTTTATAGCAAATTCTATTTTAGAATTATTTAATAATTAATTATAACTTAAACTTGCACTCAACAGCGTATGGCTGGGTCTGTTAAACTCGACTACAAGATGCACTGACCTCATACACTTTTCAGTTGTTTTCTTTGTTCCTTTTTTTTGACAGTGTAGCCGGAACTATAAACTATGCGATATTATTTTAACCACAAATTGTCTGTGTTTTTGTTCGTCTTCCGCTGTTACTCACTTTTTATGCCCTTTGAATATGGACCCTTAAAGGGCATATTTATTCTATGTAAACTGTTGTTACTGGCAGTTGTGGTTTAGTCCATATTTACTATATAGCAATCGATATATTTACTATATATCAGTAGTTGATCTTTTTCTAGCTGTCTGAATGTCTGCCTCTGTCTGTTCATCTGTTACTCTGCCCATATCGATAACAAACAGCTGTAGATATATCATGAATAAACTTTAATACACTCTTAAGGCAACTTCCAGTAAAAATTTGCAACGAAGTGAAGATAGTATACAAGTATATAAAGTATTAAAATAAAAAGTGGAAAGATCGATCCGTAACCGATCACCGATCAGCATAATTGACATTTAATAAAAAAGCCCAGCTGCCCCATTGAATTATGTGCTTTTCCCTAAGAAAAAGAAAATCAAAAATAGCAGAATATTTCAAACCATATTCGCTTTATTACCAGTTCGTCAACTGCTGCTCTAATTTGGTTAGTCTACACCTACAAATATCGATAATTCCTATCGATAACTTAATTGGCAACCAGTACAATTCCTCACTCTATAAGCATATCCCTTAAGAAACCTTTAGGCACATCTATTGTCTAAACACCATAACATGCAGTCGTGCATACCCGCTTGGCGCACTTAACACTTTCTTCTTTGCGGTTTTTGCGAGCTGCCCGCGAGCTGTTCGCATAAATTTGAATGCGAATTTTTATTTACATGTCAGCAGCTAGTGCAGTAGTCACTGATGCTGCAGTAAGCGGCAGCAAGTGTGGCCAATATTTAAAATATGCAGCACACACACACACACACACACACACATATGAACACCCACACACACCTGCATGGAGAGTCTGTGTTCATTATCGATGCCATCCGCTGGCACTTTCCGTAATGACTTTGGCCCAGCCAACGATGCAAATTAGGCGTTAAGGCTGACAACGTTTTTCCACAGCAATGGAGCCTGCCCCACCTGCCACGCGTTGCAGTCACGTGCGGCAGCTGGTCGAGTCGTTGCCACGCTGACAACCAGAGCGTCTAATGAAGTGGCCCGTGTTCCGGCGCCTGCGGCAGGGCGTGAAAGGTAAGTTCTGCCAACTGCCACTCCCCCTCCCTGCACCGCCCCTTGTGCTGCACGTGTTGCAGAACTTTCGGTTAACGGTTATTAAATGCAGTTTGACAACAAAATGTGGCAGCAAAAGTGCAAAGTGCAGACCCAGCGACGCGCGCTCTCTCTCTCTCTCTCTGTCTGTCTGTCTCTCTGCCTGCCTGATCTGGCTCTCTTACGCTTGCTCTCTGAGTGTGGCTCTCGCGCTCTCAGCCAGCTCCAAAACTGGTTTTGTGCTCAGTTTTTAGACCAGTTTAGACCAAACGCAGGTGCGCTGCGCCCAAGCGCCGATCAGTTCGAGCTGAAATCGCGACGCGTTCGCCACGCAGCCGCGCTACACTAAAAAAAAAATTAAATAAAAAAATTAATAATAAAAACCGAATAAACTCGAAAAAAAACTGAGCAAGCAGCAGCAGCAGCAATATATTCAACTATTTTTAGCGCATTACGTGAGTGTCATACGAATTTGGCAGCTGAGCGAAAACAACAGAAATGTGCTAAATAGTGTACACTGTACTACAGCCCGAAAATCTTTCTAACAAGCGCTGCCCTTTGGCTATGTATGTGCGTGTGTGTCTCTGAGTGTGTGTGTGTGTAGGCGCATAACTCAGCTTGAGCCAGGCCAAAAAAAACCTGCTGCTATTATTAGCTTAAGCCAAGATTATGGCCGATTTGGCTGAAAAAAAACAGCTTGAGCTCGGCTCTCTTTGCCCATTGTTGGCTGGCTAAAAGTGCCTCTGCCACTGGCACTGCCTCTGCCCCGCTGTTGCCTCTCTTAATGTTGTGTGAAAATCTGCAACGCCTTTCATTCATGCCAAACGATTATATCACACATATGCATGTGTGTGTGCGTGTGTGTGTGTGTGTTGGCTGTCGTTTTGGCCAGAACCAGTAAGGCGAAGCATCCACACACACGCACACACAGTGGCATAGCTAGGCAGACACCAACACAAATATTTTTGCATAAATCGAGACGTCATTGATACATTATTAATGCATATTCTCGTCTTTACAGAGATCTTTTAGATACATAATAAATATGTGTATATTAATGTGTGTGTTTGGGTCGATTGACTGCTTGACTAATTGATATTTAATGCCTGAGACAACCCGTTAAGCATAAAAACCTAAATTCTTAGCTACAGTTAGTTTATTTTAAATCAACTTCACGCTGAGAGTTTGCTTTAGTCTTTTTTGTGACACAAAGTTGAAAATTGATTGAGCCGAAGAAGATTTGGATGTTTAAAGCAAATTCCAGGCATTGCACCAGGCGCCACCCACTGCATAATACTAGTTCTCGGTTAAGAAAGAGTTAAATCATACGTTAAGAGGGAGTCCGCAGTTACTTTGCTGTCCAGCACTGCACACTTAGGCAGTAATACACCTAATTAGCACCCAATGTGCGCAGCTTTTACTACTTTAGTCCTGGTTTTTCTACACTAAATTATATTCCGAAAGCAGATATATATATCTGCTCTAGCAGATATAGTAAAGTCGGATTTGCCACGCTTCAAATTCATAACAGTTCAAAGCACGCGGCTAACAATGCTTCAATGCGGCAGGCGAGCATTGCACCCACCCAATATACCCAATTCACTTTGTGTACAACTCTAAAATGTTGGCAGCATCTTAATTTAATTTAATATTTTTCAAAAGACAATGTCAAGTCACAACTTTGCTGTTTTATGTGTCAACAGATGACATAAGCCATATAAAGTTTTAACAAGATCTTTAGAGGGCATAGAACACGCCAGGAAAAAAGCTAAAAAAAACTCCGTTTCAAAATACCTTGTGAAAATGGATTTTCGTAAACGTTTTGCACAGTTTGCAGCTAAGCCACTTGAAAAAATGGATGTATGGATATGAATGAATGGCATAAGCCAGGCATAAGCGCACTAGCACACAGCATATATATATATATATATATATATATATATATATATATATATATGCATATATATATATATATATATATATATATATATATATGCATATATATGCCTTTATCTATAAATTTGTTTATTTTTTTGTACAACAGACGCCAGTGAAGTGACAGTGCAATGAAATGTGTGCAACAGCTATAAAAACAACAACAACAACAACAACAACAACAGCAACAGCAAAGAAATACTAACAACCTGTCGTTGTCGCTGGCAAAGCGTTAACAATAAATAAGCGAAACAATAGCAGCAACAGCAACAACAGCAACAACAACAATAACAACAGTTGACTGTACAACAATGAGCAGAGAAGGTAAGCCAGTTTTTTTAGCCCACAATCGTGCATTGGTATACATTTATGCACAAACAACAACAACAACAACACACACACACACACACACTTAAGCCATCCACACACGCTTCAAACATTTGCGCATTTATTGCCATTAATTTTATTTAGCTTTAAATGAAGTGCAAGTGTCAATAAGCGCTAAAAATACAAGCGCATGTATCTATAAGATACGTGCGCGCTGTGGGATATAAACTGCAAAAGCTGAGCTTTTTAATGATATACAAAGACTTAACAATACAATGAGCTGCACAGCTTATGAATTAGATCATCTATCAACAGCAAAGCGAACTTTAAGATGCAAAATGCCTTAGACATAAATTTAGTATCTATGAGATACTTTTGAGATGCAACTATCAAATACATAATTTAAGAGTGGCGATCTGTGAGATAGATTCACTCTGAGCAGATCTCAGATAACACTTGATAACACTATCTAAAAAGCTTATAAAAATAACCATGACTTCCCTTTGATATATTAATGATATCTGAGATGATCTCAGTAACACTTCAGAGCAGAATCTGTAAGATAAATAGCTTATGAAAAAAGGAACTTTGAAATATTGATGAAATCTGAGGTGATCTCAGATAACACTTGAGAACACTATCTATGTAAAGCTTATGAAAAAACAGACTTCCCTTTCATATATTCATAATATCTCAGAAAATCTCAGACAACACTTCGAGCACAATCTATAAAAAAAGCGAGTAAGAATCAAATATAATAAAGAGATGTTTTAGCCAGAAGTTCTATTAATCAAACACTCTATAAAGTTATGCAGCCTATAAATCTTCAGCTCTAAGCTAGAAGGTCACGTGCTTGAATTTCCTACATCTCTGGGATAAACGCTCTCTGAGCTAAACACTTCATGGCATAAGGTCATGATGCAGCTGCTCATTTCCGCAGCTCTTGAACTCTGAACTGCAAAAGTGTACGGCGTGGGTGTCGAAAAAAATAATAAAAAAATGTTTAACAACAAATAAATGAAACTGAAACTGAGACTGAGACTGAGACTGAGACTCAGACTGAATTCTCGCATTTGGTTGACCGTGAAAAGTCAAAGACGCAGCCGAAGCTGTTGCCTTTTATGAGCATGATTCAGTTTTTTTTCAGTTCAGTTTATTCTCTCCGTCTCTTAATGTTTTTTCTTTTTTTTTTGGATTTCTCGTTTGCTTATGTTATTCGGCAACGATTTGTCAGCGCAGCGGAAATCCAAGCAGAGCCAAATTAAAACTTGAGTGCAGGAAAATGTTGTTTAGTTGGCCAACGCATTTGGCCAGTTGCATAGGTCGCTCTAGCCATTTTCATAGCTGGTCCAAGCCATTTGCTTATCGATAATTATCGAAAATACCATTGCCAAATCAGTGCAGACGAGGAAATTAATTGGCCAAGCACAACGGGCAATGCACCTATACGAAGTCTTAGCTAAGCTCCAAAGAGAAACTCTGATTTGTTCATTAAACAATTTAATTGTGCCTTTATCCAAGAAGTAAGAATGTTGCATTCGGGCGACGAACTGATCGACAGTTGAATGTACTTAAAGATCGATGATTTCTGATTTGACAAGATACAAGGAGTGGGAGGAGTGTGTAGAAAGTGAATGGACAGACCGACGGAACTGACGGACTGACCGATGGACGGGCGGACGGATCGATAGACAAACGGATTCATATAAAACGAATAGAAATGTTAAAACCCGAAGATGATATCTCTACCTTTCATCTGGGGATTCTCTTTAGTTTCCGAAGCCCAGCCCGGAATGCAGCTGTAAGTCGGAGTTATGTACCGTAAGAAATGACGTGACTATGTCACAGCTAATCTATTTATAATAAAACTAAAACATCCACAAAAGTGAGCCCAAAATCAAATATACGAGCTCTTACTTAAGATATTATCATAATCTAGCGTCTCATCTGAAAGACAATGAACGCATTACGGAATCTACATACATTTCGAGAGGTTGTCGTTATTGTTGTCTTGTGTCTTGTCGCTTGCTCTCAGACAGTTAGCTTTTCACTTCCCAGACCCGGTCGGACCCACTGTGCATAGCAGAGAACTGGATTTGGCTTCTTTTTTGCGTTGTTGTTGCCCCTCGATTTTTTTGGAGTAGTCGCAGCGCACAACAAGGGCCGCTGGCGATGTTTATGATAAAAAGAAGTCAGCGATGCTTGGCGCACGCCATGCCGCATGCCCCGTGCAACGTGCCCCCAATTCCACATTGCCCAAACCAATAGCAGACAATAAAACGAGGGAGAAAAGAATACAGACAAGAGCTGATCTGCCTAATGATACCCTGTAATTTGATTGGTGTTTATAAGGCCAGAATTTTGACTCTTCTTTCACTATTCGATTATTCATCGATCATATATCCATGTCTATCTCAGCGCGGCAAGCTTAGTTGATATAGAGAAGTACATCACATCCTTTTCCTCATTTATTTTCTCTACAGGGTATATCCACGAGAAATTTAAAACCAACGCCAACGGCACAAAACTATTTTATTCCGCTGATGACAATGTTTTGATAGTACATAATAATTTTTGGCTTTTATATATATATTTGTTTTGGGGTCAAGTCGCGTTGGTAATTGGACGCAGCGTCAATTAGTGCAAAAGAGCTGCAAATTTGGTTGACAGTGCATGCTGTAGTCGGGTACTCCGTTGCGTATGTGCAGACAATGTTTTGCGACAATTCAGCTTCAGCTGCAGCTTCAGTTTCGGCTTCGGCTTCGGCTTCGGCTTCGGCTTCAGCTTAAGCGACCAACAAGCAACAACAATTGACAGGGAAAGTTACGTAATAGTGCGGCATGCATTTGTTGTCGTGTTGTTGTTGTTGTGGCTATTTAAGACGGGTTTGCAACAGATACTGTTGCAAGCGCACAACGCTGCGTATGCGCATTATCATCAGCTTGACACGAACATCAAGCGTTGAAGTTTGTTTTAATGCAAATGCGCCAACATCGAAATATAAAATAGAAACTCGTAAATCAATCAACGCTAATCACCATTCAATCGGGTCTGAAGAGCAATATATATATATATACATATTCGCATTAGCTTGGGTAATCAACACGTTGCGCGCTCCTCAACTATAATGCGAGGCAAGCCATAAAAAAGACGAGAGCTGCTTATAAAATGATTGCTTATCATCATCAGCTCAAGTTGCCATAGCAGAACGATAACTATAAACGATACATACAATTGTATAGAGCAGGCATAGAGCAGTATGTGAGCTAATTCCTGGCCTTTCAATCGATAAACACTGATTATTGATCGAGCCAGAGCAATCAAAGTCTGAATATAAGCCATATATCTATATGACATGTACACAAAGTAAAGATCGATTTTATGAATTTATCGATTAACTACTTAATAAACCATATATCTATATGACATGTACACAAAGTAAAGATCGATTTTATGAATTTATCGATTAACTACTTAATAAACTAGTCGATTAGACTTCGCTTATATTTGTCTAAATTCAAATAGATTTTTATGGTAACTTTCATTTGACATTTGAGCGCTGCTTTGTGACTCGGCCAATTGAAATGCACAGATGATGCTGACGCTGATGCTGATGATTTCATCACGTAATTAATATCTCGTGTCATTGCAAGCCAAATTACATAAGTTGCAACTGAAATGCCAGCAAATGCGACAAGTATGGCATATTGATAAACCAGATATATATATATATATATATATACATATATGTATATATGCACGTATGTATGTATATGCTTATGGTATATTATGGTATATAAATTTATATAGCTATGTTTGATGATGGATGTAGAGATTATAAGATATACCTATTATATGGATTACACATTATCTGTAAATATCTACGTCTGTATGTATATTAATTCCCAGCCTCAGTTTTTTCTCTTAGTTAAATTTATAATTATTATAAACAAAGGCCGGAATTAAAATAATTCACAAACAATCAAAAATTTAAGAGAGCAAAAAAAACTATAACAAAACGTTTCCGGGTGCCGTTGACTGAATACCCTGGCAAATGAGTGTCAACTGAACTACATACATATATTTGCATACATCAATAGTGAATTCTACTGTTGGTACGTATCAGCTACATACACACGCAGATAATTCCTGCATTGTCCATTTCGTGACTTAATTATAATGCCATATGTTAGCGCTGAAAACAAAATCTCATGACTTTGGCAAACACCAGCTTTTTGCGTCTCAATTGGAGTAAACAATAGCAGACATACATAAGTACGTACACACACACATTCACACACACAGAGTCAAGTCTGTCATATAGTTTATGAATAACTTGCGCTAACAATTCAATGCCCTCTCGAGTGAGTCTCTCGTCTCAGACTCCCCCTTCCGCGTCGCCTGTTCGAATTGTGATGTAATTGAGGCAGATGAAACTTGTTTGGAATGCCTTGCACAACCTGACAACTCTGACGATCCACACTTGACATTAAGACAACTCCAAATCTACGCCCACCAATCCATAGCTGAAGCGTTGTCGACACGTTGCCAACTACAGCTGGCAAATTATACCCACCTCTCAGTCTGCAGCTGTGAGTGTGTGTGTGTGTGTGTGTGAGTTGAGCAAAATAACAAATATTATACAATAATTACTACAACAATCATAAATGGCTACACCCTTTCCATAAATCGCTGTCTGATTTACCCGCCAGAAGACCTTGAAGTTGGCGAGAAGTAAATGTGCTCGACAGGCATATACCCTGTAAAGAGTTGCCTTTTGAATAAGACATACATGAATGAGTGTTCCCTTGTATATGTTGATGTATGTAGTTGATGTAAAGGTGATGATATAAGTACACATATGTAACGACACTATGTATGAATGCATATATGTGCATATCTATAAGAAAGAATATTTAGCTGTACATATGCATAGAGGAGTGCATGTCTATGTAAGTCCACATGTGGGATGTATGTACAGACACCTGTAAAATGCA